TTTTTGGGGGCACCTAATCTGATGTTAATAAGACTTTTCTATGTGGACGCGTCGAGGACATATGAATTCATAAAAATTCTAAGGCACTTATTGCGAAAAATCATTGATTTAGAAGATAATATCTATCACCAACTTTCCACAGGTGTGAGTGCTTACTAAACTACAATGCATTCCTAAAATTCAAATATCTCCTAAACCAATGATTTTTCGCAATAAATGTCATAGTATTTTTATGAAGAGAATGACGCGTTGATATGCTTCATNCTCCTAAACCAATGATTTTTCGCAATAAATGTCATAGTATTTTTATGAAGAGAATGACGCGTTGATATGCTTCATATGTCCTCGACGCGTTCACCTTCAAAAATGTGATCAATATCAGCTTACATGCACCCGAAAACGATTCAAATTTTGTTCGAAACATTTACTAATATCGTCGACGGTTTCGACAATATTTAACTGGATCGATTTAAATGAGTCGTCCAGTATAAAAATATCTATTCATGAATCAGTTGAATGGTGTTCCTTGTGACTGGAAGTTATAAAACAGCGTGATCTCGCTACATCGTCAACTCAGTTCCCGATCTCGCGTCGCGGCCGTTCTGTTCGATGCACGTTTGCCGAATCCAAGGAAAATAATCAACGACCAGCAAGGATCAGGTATCTCATTCGGCGACAATACATACAATTAGTGCTGAATACGATAGTCAGCATCGCAGATACAATCGTTGCTAGTGATTCTCAGACAAAGAAATTGGCAGTTCCAAAATGCAGAAGTTCTCACTGACGTGCCTCGTATTTACCATTGCCGCACTCATAATTGCGGAGTTCTCGAGTGGTCAACCTACGAATTTAAGCAAGCACAACGGAACGGAAATCGGAGGTGAATATTATACAGTAGGAAACGAAAGTATTCGAACGCCTTTTAAAAAAACAGTGTACTACGTAATGACTAAAGTGCTTCGATTCAATTTTTCTGTTATTTATTTGAAATGACAAAAGAAATAAAAGAGCTCCCGCTTTCTAACCTTTTTGGTCAAAAGTGTTAAAAATCATGTCAAAACTGCGATTTTTGCGATCTTCAATTTGTTCTAAATCATAACGACAACTAACTTCGATGAAATTTTTAACACGTCTAAAATTGCCGAGATCTAAAATAAACATCACTGTCTAGTAAACCAATACCTCTAACATCTCAAAAAAATTTAGATCACTTGGCCCTATAATACAAAAGTAATTTCGTTTTAAAAGCTGTTCGAATACTTTCATGCCACACTGTATGTCGAGAATTGGTAGAGTGACAAAAAGTCATTGTGAGATAAATTCTAAACAATTGGATGAGATTCAACAATCTTAGCTATTAATTTCAGGTTCGATATCCTGTCCACATTCTGTGGACAAAATCGGCTGTATACCCACTTTAGATAGGTGCGATTATGTTGCTACGCCAGGCCTAGGGGCGCACAAGGTTCATAAACGCAAGATGACGTGGAACGAAGCGCGAAAGATCTGCTTGATGGAAGGAGGTATGAAAAGATCGCGGCAAATTTGCAAATAATGAAAGAAAACTGAAAGTAGATATACATATTAATGTCACGTCACGTAAAATCGCGTAAAATCGTAGGGAAATTAATACATTGAAGATTAAACGGGTAAATTGCAATCAAAAACAGATAATTTTGTCATGTTTCAGTGGCTGCAGTTTGACTAACGCGTTAACCGACTTTAATTAAATTTTCATCGTGTATATCAGTTATCGACAATTACAAAATGAATTTTTTTTAATTTTCATTGTAGGCTCTCAGATAAAAAGTGAGAAGACGAGAGTTTTTTCAAATTTTTTGTATTCAAAGTAATAGCAAAATAAAAAAAAAAGGTATTTTAGTCATCGTACAATAAACAGTCCCTCTAATATTTACAAGAAAATTCAAGACATTTGAACCAGTTTCAAAAAAGTTATATCGTTTCAAAAGGTGTGTGGGCACTTTTGCTTGTCACTGTACATAAGAACAGTTTGACGTGACACTGATTTGTTTCTCACAGATTTGAAACAATAAGAGTACGCAGGCTCGCCTCTTCGAATGTCACAAGATTTCATGTGACAAAGTATAAGTATTGTTTTTACGCGAGAAGAAGGCACTCTTGTGTTTACATTCCTCGTCTTACTAGCCATCGAATAGTATTAGCCGAATACGGTGACGAAGATCAACGGCGTCGCTAACGACTGACAGCTGTGGCAATGGTGAAGCTTACTAGCTTAGGGGGAATGTAAACACAGGTGCCTTCTTGTCGTGTGAAGACTATAATGTTTCTACGTTAACGCACATTTGTTTCGCAGCTCACTTGGCCATCTTAGATTCTGCGAGCGAAGAAGCCCTGTTCAAAGGCTGGATGAAAGAAGCGCACTTGGATCGTGTCTGGTTAGGTTTTCACGATTTGTTTGAGGAAGGGTCCTGGACAACTGTGACCGGCGAATTGGTCGATACAATGAGCTATCATCCATGGGGTAACGATGAGCCCAACAATTTAAGCGATAGACAGCACTGTGCAGCCCTATGGGAAAAATTTAAGGAAGGTGGGGCTGACGACATCGGCTGCGACTCCAAGTGTCCGTTCGTCTGCGAAATCAATTTGTGTAATTCTTCAAATCCCTCTCCTGTTCCGAATGATGCTCACTATTTCGAAATATTGAGTTAATAACTCGTAAAGCATGATTATCGTAGTTTGTCCAGTATATGAATGTGGAAATCAAAAGGAGGATAGATTATAACAGTACATAGACTGTTGAATTAAGAAGACGATATAATATAATACATACAATATGGAATCAATTTAAATATATAAGATAATATACGAAATATGGTGAAATAAATAAAAAATAGAAGACAATGGGTAACAAAATTTTATTATATTCATGTATGGTACATAACACTTTCCACTGCTACTAATTTGGCGTATTAGATTTGTGAATTAATATGAAAAACTCGGTAAAAGTTTATCGCTAACAGATAAACCGAAATAATAAAAGAAATGCGGAAATATTTTTCATGTTCTTTAAAAATAATAAAAGATTTTAGAAGAAACCAAAACTTTTTCCTGTTATATGGGCGACCATTGAGTTTAACATTAACATAAGATTATACATTTTCATTAAAAATGTTGCTATTATTCCGGTCTAGAATTAGAGAAATATATATTTTTTCATTTTCAATTAAGTGCATTATTTAAAAGTTAGCCTCATGCTACATATTAAAATGTTATAGGTATTACAAATATATAATTTAAAAATGCAACTCGAAGATGGTCTGACCTTGAAAGGTCAGCCGGAGTGAAAAGAAGGAAAAAAGAAAAATAAGGAAAGCGGAATAATAGAATATTTTTGTCCATCGGTAGGTATAAAAGACTGAGTTACAGTAAACATTATTTTTGCGAGTTCCATAATAAGCAGACGTTATTTTTTTTGTATATCTTGACAGCGAGACAGTCATGACATTCGTAGCTTGATTGAAACAGAACGCGCTTGTGTTTCAAAGAAGTCTGTGCATTTTTCATCTATGCATTCAAGTGCATTAATCAATTTTGTACGATAATTACAAACAAAATCGAAATTGAAGAATTTATTGTATAGTTAGCTTCAAACCATGGACACTTCATCGTTCTCTTATATCCATCGCCAAGAACTTGATAATACATACAGTGAAGAGTAAAAGTGACCACACATCTTTTAAAACGGTAAAATTTTTTTAAAATAGGTCTAAATGACTTGACTGTTTTTATAATTGTTAATAATAATTGTTAAAGGAACTAATTCATTGTACAATGACTAAAGTACTTTCTTTTTTAATTTTGCTATTTTTTGGAATAAAAAGAAAATGTAGAAAACTCGTATTTTCACCTTTTTATCTGAGCCTACAATGAAAATTTAAAAAACGCATTTGGTACTTCTCAGTAATTTATATGCATGCTGAAAATTTCATTGAAATCGATTGATCGTGACATAAGCTGCGAATAATTAAATATCACGAGAATCGCAGTACTTCACGAATTTCAACCAGAAACAGGTAATTTTTACATGTTTCAGTGGCTGTAGCTTGACTGTAGGACAACCGATCTCAATGAAATTTTCAACAGGTATCGAGAAGTATCAAACGTATTTTATAAATTTTCATTATAGGCTCACATAAAAAAGTGAAAAAACGAGAGTTTTCTTATATTTTTTTATTCCAAATAATAGCAAAATTAAAAAAAGAAGTATTATAGTCATTGTACAGTGAACTAGTTCCTCTAACATTTACAAAAACAGTCAAATCACTTAAATCAGTTTTAAAAAAATTCTATATTTTTTTGTTCCTCACTGTATATTTGCCAGATTTGTCGACTATTCCGATTCTCAAGCCCTTACAATTGGCGACGTTGCAGTCAAGTTAGCAGAGTGTCTATCAATAAGTGTCGCTTAAAATAACTGGTAAACTGACTGACTTCATGAAAAAATCGTCAAACGTATCTTTTATGTTTTTATATAGAATACATATAGAAAATATATAAACAAAGAAAAGGTGTTATATATAAATTGATGCCTCACTCTCCGAATCTTGTTGATGGGTATGCATAAGGAAGGAATATACATCATCTCAATTCGTATACAAAATTTTACTTTTTCCATATGTTTATAATTCGGTGGCACGGAAATTGAGGCAGGCACAGAAGCTGGGATCTATCATACACTAATAATGCTACACTAAGAATCTATCATACACTAATAATGCTTGAAAGATGAATTATTAACTCAGTTTTACCAGCTTTTCATTCGAAACAGTCTGATTTAAAGCGCTACATAAATTGATTTCGCAGACGAACGGAAACCGTTTATCACATCCGTTGGACTCGGCTCCATCATTGAAGCCGTACTTTTTCCTGAGCATCCCACAGCGGTACTTTTCGTCTGTAATATCCGGCTCGGATTCAGCCCATGGATTATACTCCAACTTGTCAACAAACTGGCCGGTTACGGTGGTCCACGACCCTCTTTCAAACAGATCGTGAAAGCCTAACCAGAGACCTCCCAAGTACTCCTTATTTATCCACTCGTCAAACTTGTTTTCTTTTTCCGCGGAATCTAACACTGCCAAGTGTGCTGCAAGATAAATATTCTTCATTTCCTTTCCTTTTTTACAAACTATACCAGAACTCGGAATTAACCAGCACGCAACATGAGCATCGCGAAGGCTACGCCTCCTGATCCTCGTCGCGCGTCTCGCTCCGAACGATCGCCTAAATGCTATATACATACATGTAAAGCGACTAGCACAGGCACCTGAGGTGCTCCGAGCCGAAAGTGACGGCCACGGGGAGCGAAACGCGCGACTGGAGTCAGAAGGCGTAGCCCTCGCTATCCTCATGTTGCGTGCTGGTTAATTCCGTGCCCTGAACTATACTATAGTACTCATGCGACAAAGCATCTTTGTGTTTACAGTCCCCCTTCCAACTAGCTACCCGCAACTGCAATGGCGTAGCTAGTAAGAGGGGTGATATGAACGCAAAACTGCCTCCTTGTCGCGTGAGGACTACGCGTTCAACGAGAACTGGCACAAAATGCTAACAAAAGGTTTAATTGATCTATACAGCGCCTGCAGCTGAGTGGCTGTTAGGCGAGAATGCTCAAGGACGAATTTTAGAGGACTCCATCGACGGCCCTTGCATGCATACTGGCCTCATGTACAAGGGCCCGAAAATTCTGATTCGGCCCTGGCCCGATCACGCGTCGCTCTCGTGCAGCTGTTTACAGTCTTTGCCAGTTCTTGATGAACGAAGTCTAGTCGCGATCTGGTCGTACCTCCTTCAACCATGCAGATCTTTTGTGCTTCGTTCCATGTCACCTCGTGTCTGTGAACCTTGTGGGCTCCTATGCCCGGCGTAACAATATAATCGCACCTATCTAAAAAGTGTATGCAGCCGATTCTGTCCTTATAACGTCGATACGGCAACGCACCTGAAATTAAAAGTTGGCTAGTGAGAATTTCGAAGCTCTTCAAACTGGTTCGAATTTTTGTAATAACGACCTTCTGTCACATTACCAATTCTCGACTAACATTGAGATGCGAAAGTATTCGACTGTCTCTCAAAACGAAATAAGTTTTTTATTATAGTACCAAGCGATCTAAATTTCTTTGAGATGCTAGAGGAATTTTTTTACTAAAGCATGGCGCTTTTTTGTAAACCTCTTTATATTAGTCTATAATGAAAGTTTGAAAAACGCCGTTTTGTAGATCTTGATAGCTTATATGCCATCATCTAATAAACTAATCCCTCTAACATTTCAAGCAAATGCAAATCATTTGGTTCAACTTGGAAATAATTATTCCGTTTTAAAAGGCGTTCGAATACTTTCGCCTCTTACTGTAAGTATAATATTCACCTCCGTTTTTTATATCGTTGTTCTTGGTGAAATCTGTAGGTTGTACACTCGAGAACTCCGCAACGAAAAGTGCGACTAAGGTAATCACGAGAAACGTCAACGAAAACTGCCGCTTATTGGCAGTCGCAAGTTTTGCGTCTGAGAATCGCTAGCAACGATTGTATCCTCGATGCTGACTATCGGATCAAGCACTAACTGTTTGTATTGTCGCTGAACGATGCCTGATCCTTGCTGGTCGGTGATTAATTTGTTTGGTTTATGCGAACGTGCAATACACGATCTTGAAGGAGCATAGTACCAGCAACGAGTGCTCGCTATTTTATACTTCTACCATCGATCATCACCTTCGATTTCGAACTGTCTTATCTTTCAGGAAGTGACAATTTCATATAATTATGCCTAATAAGTTAACAATTTTTATCACAGAGTAAGATATCGGGATAATGTAAGATAACGTTACCGGAGTCTTTGTCGTCTTGCCTGATCGCGCGGGGCTGATGACTCATTGTGGCGAATTTGCTAGCGATTTTGTGATGCGAATTTTCATACCAGCCTTTCTCACTCACTCGCACGCATTGCCGTTATGTGCCGTGTAACGAAATACAATTCGAGTGACAAAAAGCTATCCGTAATCTAATTATAGTTTGGCGAGACACGATGCAACGTAACGACGAAACGATCGATAATTTAACAATAGGCACTTGATTAAAGCACGCGTCGATGTTGCCACGTAACAATGCATATAACTCTTTCTGTTCGACTTAATAAGTTCGATTCTTTCTTACTTGCTGATAACAGGGGTATAAAAAGAATCGCGGCCAGTAATTAAAGGTTCGTTCGTATACAAATTTTTCTTATTTTTATTACCTGCCTTTGTTCGATTCGTTGTCCCGAAAACATTCGGTTGCGTGGTTTATTTCATTAGTACGTGAAGTGCTCGAATGATTACCAAAATAAATCGAATGTTAAAAATATAACTTGAACAGTTCGATTCACAAGTGAGAATTCTATGTAATTTCACGCGTTGGTCATTTGTTTTGCGGAAATTGATCATTTCCCAATGACAGAAAATTAGCTATCCTGTCAGGATACCCAGCTAATGACAAGAAGAAATTCTCCGACAAACTTGACGCCTTCGTTTCTTCATAATTGTTTCAAAAACCGGAACCAAAAAATACTCCCCAAAATATAGCTGCTGATATGGAACTTTGGATCCGCGACACCCGCAAACCGGACAGGAAAAGGTGAATAATTCGAAAACCTATCAATTCAGCGCGTCCTACCATTGGACAGGCACCTTCTTTAAACAGCAGGCGAGAAAAATCTCAACACTTTTCTAATGTATCGAAAGATCTTAATAACCGAAATTTTCGATCACTTGAAGCCCGAACACCTCCAAGAATACGTCACTCTCAGGGCAAAAGATACAATACCGATGGAGGAAATTCAATCGACGAAGAAATATCCGGAATCTATCCAGAATTTAAACACTCAATTAAAAAAATAATTGCCAGCTATAGAGAGATATTCGCATTGGAATCTATTCCCCGTCCCTGTACATCCTTAACCGAATACACGATAACATTAAAAAATGATAAAGCAACCAATTGTAAAACTTGTCGACCCCTTGAATGTCATAATGACGAGATCCATTGACAGATACGTGACATGCTTAATAAAGAAATTTTAGAGCGCCTTTAGCGCTCCACGTTCGGTGGTCGCTAAGAAAGCAAACGCGACAAAAAAAAAGAGAAATGTAGAATTGCGATGGACTTTAGGAAACTGAACGAATAAATGGTTGAAGACGCCTACCTTCTCCCTGACATAAAAGACATCCTCGATCATTTAGGCAAAGCCATATTGTTTTCTGCATTAGATCTGTCCTCTGGATTCCAGCAAATCTCCCTGCAAGAAATATAAAAAATTCTCCCTAATTGACGCTCAGCTTGTACACAAAAATGAACAATATGGGAAGAGGAGATACTATTATTCGAGCCATGTGACTTGTTTTTATAGTTGTTGACAATCGATAATTATAAAAACGAATCGCAAGGCTCGAATAATCATATCTCCTCTTTCCAAATATTTTATTTTACTAGCTGAGGAGAAATTGGACAAAATTTACTATATTTGCTGTCAATGATTCTTTTTTTCTTGTATTTATATAAATGCTTCAAAATTGATAATGATGATCGTCAGTTTCAAATCATTCATATAACAGGAAAAAGCTTTGGCATCTCCTAAAATCTTTCATTATTTTTAAAGAATAAGAAAAACATTTCCGTAATTGCTTTTATTACTTAGGTTTTTCTGTTAGCGATTAACTTTTACCGACTTTTTCATATTAATTCACAAATCTAATATGCCAAATTGGTAGCAAGGGAAAGTGTTATATGACATATATAAATATAACAGAATCATGTTACCCATTGTTTTCTAGTTTTTATTTATTTCCCTATATTCCATATATTTTCTCGTACATTTAAATTGATTCCATATTGTATGTATTATATTGTAACGTCCTCTTAATTCTATATTCTATGTACTGTTATTATTCATCATGATTTGGAAATATTAAGTATCATTCTGAACAGGAGAGGGATTTGAAGAATAACACAAATTGATTTCGCAGACGAACGAATACTTCATCTTGCAGTAGCTGCCGTTAGCCCCAGCATATTCATTCCATAGGAATGCACACTGCAGTATATCGTCTAAATTCTTGGGTTCATTGTCACCCCATGGATGATAGCTCATCGTATCGACCAACTCGCCGGTCACAGTTGTCCAGGACCCTTCCTCAAACAACTCGTGAAAACCTAACCAGATACGATCCAAGTGCGCTTCATTCATCCAGTCTTTGAACAGGGCTTCTTCGCTCGCAGAATCTAAGATGGCCAAGTGAGCTGCGAAACAAATGTGCGTTAACGTAGAAACATTATAGTCTTCACATGACAAGAAGGCACCTGTGTTTACATTCCCCCTCTTACTAGCTTCACCATTGCCACAGCTGTCAGTCGTTAGCGACGCCGTCGATCTTCGTCACCGTATTCGGCTAATACTATTCCATGGCTAGTAAGACGAGGAATGTAAACACAAGAGTGCCTTCCTCTCGCGTAAAAACAATACTTATACTTTGTCACATGAAATCTTGTGACATTCGAAGAGGCGAGCCTGCGTACTCTTATTGTTTCAAATCTGTGAGAAACAAATCAGTGTCACGTCAAACTGTTCTTATGTACAGTGACAAGCAAAAGTGCCCACACACCTTTTGAAACGATATAACTTTTTTGAAACTGGTTCAAATGTCTCGAATTTTCTTGTAAATATTAGAGGGACTGTTTATTGTACGATGACTAAAATACCTTTTTTTTTATTTTGCTATTACTTTGAATACAAAAAATTTGAAAAAACTCTCGTCTTCTCACTTTTTATCTGAGAGCCTATAATGAAAATTAAAAAAAATTCATTTTGTAATTGTCGGTAACTGATATACATGATGAAAATTTAATTAAAGTCAGTTAACGCGTTAGTCAATCTACAGCCACTGAAACATGACAAAATGATGTGTTTTTGATTGCAATTCGTGAAACCCTGTGATTTTAAATCGTTTTAAAAGGTGCGTGAACCCGTTTAATCTTCAATATATTAATTTCCCTACGATTCTACACGATTTTACGTGACGTGACATTAATATGTATCTACTTTCAGTTTTCTTTCATTATTTGCAAATTTGCCGCGATCTTTTCATACCTCCTTCCATCAAGCAGATCTTTCGCGCTTCGTTCCACGTCACATGACGTTTATGAACCTTGTGCGCCCCTAGGCCTGGCGTAGCAACATAATCGCACCTATCTAAAGTGGGTATACAGCCGACTTTGTCCACAGAATGTGGACAGGATAACAAACCTGAAATTAATAGCTAAGATTGTTGAATCTCATCCAATTGTTTAGAATTTGTCTCATAACGACTTTTTGTCACTCTACCAATTCTCGACATACAGTGTGGCATGAAAGTATTCGAACAGCTTTTAAAACGAAATTGCTTTTGTATTATAGGGCCAAGTGATCTAAATTTTTTTTAGATGTTAGAGGTATTGGTTTACTAGACAGTGATGTTTATTTTAGATCTCGGCAATTTTAGACGTGTTAAAAATTTCATCGAAGTTAGTTGTCGTTATGATTTAGAACAAATTGAAGATCGCAAAAATCGCAGTTTTGACATGATTTTTAACACTTTTGACCAAAAACTGTAAGAAATCTGCAGTTTTTGAAATCTTTCAATACTTGTAGCTTGACTATGAATTAATAGATTTCGATCAAAGTCTCAGCACTCATATAAGTTATCGGAATCTACGAGAGACATTTGTTATAGGCTCAGACAAAAAGATTAGAAAGCGGGAGCTCTTTTATTTCTTTTGTCATTTCAAGTAAATAACAGAAAAATTGAATCGAAGCATTTTAGTCATTACGTAGTACACTGTTTTTTTAAAAAAGGCGATCGAATACTTTCGTTTCCTACTGTATAATATTCACCTCCGATTTCCGTTCCGTTGTGCTTGCTTAAATTCGTAGGTTGACCACTCGA